TTTCCTACGCGTTACCGCCCTGCCCCGTTACCTGGTAACATTGGTTACCAGTGGCACCAATTTTCACATTTTTCAAAATTTAAAATTTTAACATAATCGCTAAATCAAGGGTCTCTGTTTCCTCTCTTATATCTTGCCTGTCTTTTCTTTATTAAATTTTTCTAAACTATATTTAATTCGAACCTTATAATTCATTAAACACAGGAATAATAAATATAAAATATATAAAGGATTACTGTCTTAGAGAAACTACGAATTTGGCTCTCCAACCAAAAGGTTGTTGATGATGACTTATTCTATGTTTTCGATTTTGGCTCTCCAACTGAAAAGTTGTTGATGACGACTTAATCAATTAAGACATTGACTTTTAGTATTTTACCTATTTTTCTATACTCCTAATTCCGATCAGAAAATTAAGACTTCTTGCTTTAAACGAAATTGGAAATTTGGCTCTCCGACTAGTCGTTGATGATGACTTAATTCTAATTTATTCCTGAAGCATTAAGTTTAAACAATTGATCGAAAATAGAAATGAGTTAAATTAAAATAGAAATAAATCTTCTTGCGATTATGAGTCAGGTTTTGAATTCCTAGCAAGTTTAGACGGCGCGGTAATCGTTTAAAAAAAACGAAATAGTGTATGTATCTCTAAACTGTTTCTAAGCAATATTTAATTCGAATCTTAAAATTGTTTAAACACAAGAATAATAAATATAAAATATATAAAGGATCTCTGTCTTAGTGAAACTACGAATTTGGCTCTCCAACCTAAAGGTTGTTGATGATGACTTATTCTATGTTTTCGATTTTGGCTCTCCAACTGAAAAGTTGTTGATGACGACTTAATCAATTGAGACACTGGTTTTTAGTATTTTAATTATTCGCTTATTCTTCCGTCTCTCATCAGAAAATAAGAATTCCTTGTTTTAAATAAATTGGAAGTTTGGCTCTCCGACTCGTCGTTGATGATGACTCATTTCTAATTTATCTTGGCTCTCCGACCGAAAGGTTGTAGATGACGACTCGAATAATTGAAACATTGAATTCAGACAACTGATGAAAAATAGAAACGAGCTTGATTGGAATGAAATATAAATTGCTTAGTGATTATGGAATTCATTGGTAATGCCTAATAAATTTAGGCGGCGTGGTCATCGTTCAACGAAACGAAACCGCACTAGTAAGGTTTCTGACCTTAATCCAGCTAAAACTCTAAACTTTGAAACTTCTTATACAGTTTCTTTTGAACATCCTTTAGGGCGAACTAATATTCCCCGACAAAACACTTTAACTTCTGAAAAGGAAATTTCGAATAAATTACATTATTTTGTGGTGTTCAATCCTAAATTCCCGTTTCATAAGGGTTCAGTTGTGAATAATCACGACTTGAAAAGGCTCTCCTTAACGTTAGTACAATCTGCTGACCTTCTTACGGATACCCCCATCTTACAACTGAGGGTTAGACGTATTGAGAATTTTAACAATGAAAAGGTAACGTTGAGGCAAGCCCCGCGAGAACAAGAGAAGAAAGTTAAGAATTAGCCCTAGAGCTACGCGAATTAAATAATTAAATTTTGCTTGTGTATTGTTAGTTTACTTTACATCCGTATGACAATCCTACAAAATTCTAATGACTTCGGAGTCATTGTTATTAATTCCGAGTTCTTACAAAACGAAGTAATAAATGTATCACTAAACAATTTCTACAAACATAACTACATTTGTCAAACTGTTTTAAAACTAGACTGCCCCATATTAGGATACCCGACTGCAGACTACGTTAACGACACCTACGTGGACTTTGTCACACTTTGTCGTAGACTCATTCTATTCAGATACCTGGATAATCACCCCGGCTATCCTTGGGCGAACTAGTTGCGTCGATTTGGCTTTCTTCTAAAATAATCCAAAAAAAAAATTTTTTCACCACCTACTACATCCTAATTCCTAAGTATCCATCAAAATTAATTATCAATAGTGTTTTAAAAGCATAATCGTTGGGACTAGTTTCGACTAATCCTAACGACTAGCAATACAACCTCGCCGTTTTGTGGGTACAAGGCCGCAGGATTGGAAAAACTTCTGGTCGAATCCTGGTGAGTTCCAATTGGAATTCGGAAAGCAGAAAATTTATTTTCTTCTTTCCCTTACACTAGGAAGCGCCGTTGTGAGTACTGATCGTCCCGCCTAGGAGAGCATCTCTGGCTGAACTTGTATTTTATCGCACTATTATAATCCAATCCAAATAAAATTAACTAAAATGACATCCTAAATGTCTTCCGATCCAAAGAAAACAAAAAGAGGAAAACGTGCCGGTAAGCGACGCATTTTGATCGAACAAGGAACGACTAGGGCACCAGAATCTGAAATCTATTACAGTCTCACGAAACCGTTAACAAAGTTCAGACCTACGTGCAAGGTTGCACCCACTCCTAGACAACCAGAGCCGGTCCAACCACCTCCGGTACAATTAGCACAAATTCAAATTATCGAAATCGACCTCGATATCGAGGAGGCGTTAGCACAGAGACAGATCGCTCGCGCACAAGAGAATCTTGTGAGACTTGTCCCCGTACAGCAACAAAACGTCCATCAACCTGACGGCGACTATGACAGCACACTCGATTACGACAGCGACGTCATGATTATTGGCTAAATGCAAAGCAACACTCTGACAGGCTAAATAAATTGACGAAATTCAATTTAATAAATTTTAAAGTAAATGTAACCTTTTGAATAACTCATGTTTCCTCGAAGGAGCGCAACTGTTACTGGGTTCTCCCAGGACCAATGGTCCGAGTTAATCGAGGGAGTTGAGTTGATTGAAGAAAGATACAGCTTTCTTGTTTTAGAAAATTCGAGATTGTCCAAACAAGCGTCCGAGTTAGAGACTCAGGTAACATTCCTTAATAGTTCCCTAGCCGCGTTTACACAGGCTAACTTCGCACAAGCCTTACTAGTTTCTGGTCTCGAAGAAAGAGTAAAAACAATGAAACCTATCATCGACCTTTTAACTAAGAAACTTGAGAATTTAAAAATCGATTAAGTTCTAGCAATGACGCCTGAATGGAAGAATATACTTTTTGATAATTCCGAAGAACACGTACAACGCGTAAACAGATTCTTAGCATTCCATTTTCGTGAAAGTAGAAATTTGAGAAGATCAAAATCTGAATTGAGAACTAAGATAGAGTCACTCAAAACTAGGATCGTACTTCTGAAATCCCAAATCATAGAAGCAAAACGTAGGCAATTAGACTTTTGTAAATCCTTAAGTGAATTAGAACAAGTAACGCGAAATTTAAATTTGGAACCTTAGAATATGGATCTAAATATAAGAATTACAGGCCGTTCCCCTTTTTCTATACCCTTAGTTAAAGTTGTTAAAGGAGAAAACGGTAGATTCGTTGTCAATTTTACGGAAGTTAATCCTGAATTCAGCAAAATCCATTTCTTGGTTAGAAACCGCATCCTCAACGAAAACAAATCTAATCCCTAAAAGGCTCAAGTTGCAGGAATTTTCTACGGTGGCGAATTTTCCGCTCTTTTAAAAGTTACAATCACAATTGCTTCTAATACATATATATAACCACTCACACTTTTGTATAAATATAAAAATCGTAAGTATAAAAAATTTTGTATATATATATATTTAGTTATGACACTTTTATGCACCTGAAATATCCCCGCATAAACATGGCAAACCAAAATCCCAACGGTCAGCAACCTCCGGCGAACCTTGACGTTAGCGTGGCAAACGCTTTAGATCGATTAAATTTACGAACAAGCGCAAGTGACATCCCCCTGTTTGACGGTCGAAACCCCTCGCTAAAAGAATTCCTACAAGCCGTACAACGTGCGGGAATTTTCGTCACGGATACCGCCGAACCCGAATTTCTTAGGGCCGTTTTAAGTAGATTGCATGGAGCAGCATGGGACAGCTGTAAAAACAAAGATTTTGATCAATTAGACGAGCTGCTTGATCATTTAAGGAAGCGATTTGCCCCGAATAAAAAATATCAATGGTACTTCGAGAGTATAATAACCCTCAGGCAAAAACAGACGGAAACTGCTAGTGATTATTATGATCGTTTGCAGGGCCTAATCGCAGGCGCCCGTCATGCCCTTGAACCAAAATATAATAGGACGTTTAGGGAAGTTAGAGAGGGTAACAACGCTGTAGAACTCACGGAGTTCAATATTATTTTGCAACCCATTCGCGAATGCGCCCTAGACTCATTCGTAAGAGGGCTTTCCACGGAAGTATCGAAATTCGTAGATGCTAGAAATCCACGTGACTTGGACGAAGCCCTAGAATTTGCGAAACATGCTGAAGATCGCGAAAGCTACAGTGAAAGATCACGTTCGTCATCTTATCATATATCCAAGATCGAGGAACGGACAAGATCACCAAGCCCGTACTCGCGACAAATCGAGAAACCCAACATTGCAACGAGACGAAGAACGGACTCCGACAGAGAGACAAATTATGTCAACCATCCCTCTAAGCCTACTTCCTCTGACATGTTGCATCTTACCCCAGAGCAACTTGGGAATTTCTATCGATCCATCATGCCCCAGTATCCCCCTCCCTTCACATATCCTACACCTTCCCACATGATCCCACCTCAAAACCCACAATATCCAACACCTTTTGCATACCCGCAAATGATGCCCCAGGCTCCTCTTAATCCCACACCTATGCAGAACCAATATCCTAGACCAACCCAGAACTATCGGACTAGTACAACCCCACCACGGGCTGTATCTCCAGCACCTGCTAGTAATTTAAACTACCAGCAGACTCGCCGTCCGGACGCACCAGCGAGTCCCCTTCCGCAGCGTCCGAAGAACGTGCACTTTGCGGAACACTCAATAGGATCTTTAGAGCAAAATCAGAGGCCGAGGACTCCCCAGTAGTCCAATTAAACGCCCCTGAATTCAGACATGATAAAATAAGGTTCCTCGTAGATCCTGGGTCGGACACTAACCTCGTGAAGATGTGTGCATTAAATCCCGTGCTCACACTTGTCCCAGACAAGTGTCTTGAGATTACAGGAATAACTAATCACGCTGTTAGAACAATGGGAACCATTCAGTTAACTATCGATAATGTTCCGGTAGAATTTCACGTTGTCAAAAACTGTTTTCCCATTTCGACTCATGGTATCCTTTGAAGACCATATCTACGACAGGTCCAAGCCCAAATTTCTTTTAGGCATAACACCCTTGTGACCATATCTTCCCCAGTGACCCCTATCAATTTTGTTGATAAGGAATCACTGGAGGCTAAAAAAGCCTTAGGGTGGAGTCCCATGACTCCGTTGTGCGTTGCGTTCTCGACAGTCATGCGTTATTTCCAAAGCGTTCCATCTCTGGTGTTACCTGACATTCCATCCCTGTTGTGTACAGTTTTGAAAGCATTTGAAAGTTTTGAATTTTGTATTATAGTGCCATGTGCATCGAGGAAATCGAGAAAATCTTACCGAAAATAGGTTCATTTTATTAATATTAAATTTTATTTAATATTAATTAATATATATATATTTATAAAACCAGTGGCATTTCGCGTTATAATTTTTTTTACTGTAAATGATGTCGTTAGAAAATGTGCAGGTAAGAAAATTTTTGAGGTTATTTTTTGTTTCGTTGAAATTCAAATGAAAGTTATATTATTTCTTTTATAAAATAAAATAAAGTAATTTGACAACATTCTCCATGTTTATATAATGTTATTCATTTATTTTATTATATATATATATATTCATTATATTATTATCGGTAAAATAATTAAATTATTTTTGTGTTTTTAATTTTTCTTTATTTTCTAATTAAAATTAATTAATATTTAATACTTTTTTATTATTAATTTTTAATTATTTTATAGGCGAAGCATAAGTGTGGATATTGTGGAAAATCGATAAACAATATACATAACATTTGGAATCATTTATGCTTCAAAAATTATGATGAAGATACACATTACATTAAAATCGATGATAATCATATTGTTACCATGAGTAAGTTTATTATAATTAAAATAGTTTTTTTTTATAAGAATTAATTTATTTAATATAATCTTATTTATATTCTAGTTAGTCAAGAGGCTACTAGTACTAATGGAGTTAATGGAAACAGTTTTGAGTGGAACGAAGAATGGGATGAATCACTAATAACAGCAGTGTCGCAAAGGCCTGCTCTGTATAATTATCTCTTGCCCGTGAAAGAACGATCTCAGTTAAAATTAAATGATTTGTGGAATGAAATTCACAATACATTAGGTGTTTCATCAGTAAATATTATAAAAGATAGATGGAAAAAACTTCGAGCTTTATATATGGCGGAAAAATCAGAGCGAAATGTATACATTCCGAGTGGTTCAGCAGCATCAAAAAAAAAGAGGGACAATAAGAATGGATTTCAATTATTTGAAGTAATGAAATTTCTTAATGTGTCCAAACCTACCAGGCAAGTATTTTTTCAAGTATTAGATTTTTCACATTTGTAAGTTAAATATTCAAAAAGTGATATTATAGTTATAGAAAGTGAATTTATCATTCGGCAGTTAAATATTAAAGGAGAAAGAAGCTATCAATAATCCGAATCAAATTTTACAAACAAATTATTATTCAAAAAAAGTTTATATTTAGTTTTATTTATTATTCAAAAAGTGATTTATTAAATTTTAAAAATTAGCTTGTATAGAGGTATATTGAAAGATTAAAATATTCGTAGTATATATTTGCAGATAAATAAAAAAAAATTTGCAGAAGACTACTTGCAGATGTTTATTTTGTAAATTGATTTCAAATTTTGCTAAACTTATATAGAGGAAAGTTTAGTTTAGATAAATATTTTTATCTTTAAAATTGTTTGTAAAATAATCTTTTAAAACATATTTGTTAACTTTTTAGGACATTGAGTACTTTCTCATCTGGTTCTGATGATGATAACGACGTTAAGGTTGAAATAAAACAAAAAAGAAAGAAGAAACTTACAAGAAATAGTAAGTAAATTATTTGAAGTTTTTAACTAAAAAAATCTTATTCTTAAAAATTCTTATTGTGCTTATAATCTTATAAAATTCATTGTTATAAAAATTATGTTCATAATATAGAAATTGATTTAATGTTCTTTTTCTTTTTTAATTTATTGTTTCCGTGCCTTCAAAAAATTCTTGAGATTTAATGTTACTATAAAGCGATTATTTCTATTCATACAGTAATATGATAACAATTGTGTAGATTAAATTGTATCAGACTAAACTCTGATGTAACAGACATATCTTGTTTTTAATTAAAAACAAATATTGTAAATTTAAAATCAAAATAGGCAATCAAATAACTTTGTGTGAAATGGACAAATTAAAATAAATACTTTCATTGTATTACATTTGTTTTTAAATTATGTTTATAACAAAGAAAGTGGTTAAGATAATTTAATTTATATTGTATTAAAATTTTAGTAACTAGTAGTAATATCGAAAAAATTTTCCTTACAGGTTCTGTATGGTCTACTCAGTATTATCAAACTCTTCTAAAATCAGTTACTTCAGAAGAAAAGATTATTGCTCCATGTCCAGTTTATTCTTTGCTTCCAATATTTAAAAAATTGAAAAAACAAAAACAAGTTCATGTTGCAAATTTATTTCAACAAATACTAATGGAAGAATTAGATAATCAATCGTAGAAAATGATTTTGATGTGATGAATCATTGATCTTATTAGGATATAAAAATTTGTAATTGATATTGTCTTGGAATTTTAATACTTTACGAAAATTGCTAATATTTTAAACTGTTATAATAATAATTTAAAGTTGCCTTGTATGAAAAAATAAATATTTTTTATTCTATTTAGTGTTTTATTATTTAATATTATTCTTAATAGTTTATTAATATTGAATATTTATAAAATATATAATTTAATATAATATGGTATAATATATTATGTATATATACATAAACATATATATAATATTTATACATATTATGTAAATATATATATATATATAAATCTTTTTTAGTTTTTTATATTACTCCCGCGAAACGCAATACCTACGTTTCATTAATTTGCTACTGTCCCATGATTGCATTCTAACGCACGTAAAATTTCGACTTTATTGTATCTACCAATAAAACGTAGTTATTATATTAATTTGGGGGGGGGAACTATGATTATATTCGTCCATTAATTATATTTCTGAAACCTAGACGTTTTTACGCAATCATGGGACAGTGGCAAAATAACTGAACGCACGTGTTGCATTTTTCCGCTTATTGTACATTTTGATTTTTAGCGTAAGTAGATAAATTTTACCTACTAAATAAAAGATAGTTTTAATAAAATAAATGTTACTTTTAAATATTTTTAAATTAAAACAAGATTCATTTAAGTATGCATGCTACGTAAATGTCACTTAGGACCAAATTATATTATATTTATTGTATTTTGATATTAATTTAAATTAAGTTTAAACACGACAATATTATATATAGAATATGTCTACTTTATTACATATTTTTAATTATAGATAAGTGGAAATTTTTTAAAATGAAAGCAATAGATATTCTTTTATACTTATATTGGCTTCTAACATTATGCGATTCGATGCCACAACTGTCTTCAACATTTTATGAAACGCAGCAACATATCCTCCACGTGTATATTTTATATTTAGAGCTAGATAAAATGGAGTCACCAACAAAGGAAAGGAAATTTTGGGTTCGACCAATATTTAGAGATCAACGACGAAGAGCACAAGGTGCCAGTGATAATCTAATATTCGAAATGGAAACACAAGATAAAGAACAATATTTAAAATATTTGCGCATGTCTAAAAAATTGTTCTATAAATTACTTAAAAAAGTCCAACCTCATATTAAAAAGAAATTTGTCGTTCGGAAACCAATTCCAGCTCATACAAGACTGCATATTTGTATTCGTTACCTTGCCTCTGGCGATTCAATGGAATCCATTGCTTATCAATTTCGAGTTAGTCATAATACTGTATCGAAAATTATACGAGAAACCTGCAGAGCAATTTGGATATCATTAAAAAGAACAGCTTTTCCTCGTTTAACCAGAGCAGGATGGTTGTCCCATGCAAAAGGCTTCGAAGAAAAATGGAATTTTCCTCATTGCATCGGTGCAATCGATGGAAAATTAGTTTCTATGCAGGTAAAGACAAATATATTTTTTAAAGATTTACAATATATGGATCTAAATTATTAGTTATTGCTGTCACATTAATTGCAAGAAAGTAATTATTATTTTTTTAGGCTCCGCCAAATTCTGGTTCAGAATATTATAGCTACAAGGGAAGGTTCAGCATGAATTTAATGGCAATAAGTGATGCATACTACAGATTTATTGCAGTTGATATTGGTGCTCCTGGAAGAAGAAGCGATGGAGGTGTATTTGCAGAAAGTGAGATGTTCAGAAAATTTGAAACAAATACTTTCGAAATCCCTAATCCAGAAGCAATAATGACGAATACTCCTCATTTACCATATGTCCTGGTCGCAGACGAAGCATTCACACTAACTAAATATTGTATGCGACCTTACCCTAGAAGTAAAGCATTAAATATTAAAAAAAAAATTTTCAACTATCGATTAAGTCGAGCAAGGCGAATGGTCGAAAGTGCCTTCGGAATTTTTGCGGCTCGTTGGAGGATATTTAGAAAGGATATTATAGGTTCAACGAAGCTAGTGAGGAACATCATTCAAGCGACTACATGTCTCCATAACTGGATCATAACTGAGTCATTAAATAATCCAGAAAATAAGTGTCAGTACACTCATTTATCAAGGGTAGATCGGCAATCTGTTAACGGTATGTAATTTCAAAAAAATTTAACTTTTGGAAAATAAATAATTGAAATTATCATTTTAATAATATTTTTGCTTGACATTTTAACATTTTGACATTTTTAACTGTAAACTATTGTTTTAGCATTACAAAACATACCAAGACAAAATGCAAATCAACCTCTACATAATACAGATGCTCAAACAGTGCGAAACAACTTTGCTGAGTATTTTATGTCACCTGAAGGAGAATTACCATGGCAATATGATAAAGTATTGCAAAATAATTTCTAAACTTAATTTTTATTGTATTGTATTTTATGGAAGACAATCACAGAGAGTATTATTCATTTAGGACAAATAAATATATATATTTCATTTTTATTGAGTTTCTTATTTTAAAAAGAAACCTTTAAATGTTAAACATTTCTTTACAACTACAAGTATTACAATATTTAACATACACTTATGAAAACATCTTAAGTTTTTGGTTCATTCATAACACATTGCATTTAACATAATTTATAAGAATATTAATATTAATGCTTACAATAATGTTTAGAAATCTTAGGATCTCTTAATACTTTTTGATAAATAAAACTATCACAGAAAGTTTTAAAAAACATGTAGCAAAATACTATAAGAAAACATAAATAATATTTAATACACATATATTACATTTTTTTTAATCAACTTGCAATTAAAAATATTTCTAAAACAAATTAACTTTATTGCATTGAAAATAAATGTAATTTTTCATGTATAAAAAATTTTAAAATTTGCAATAAATAAAACGTATTTCTAATTATTTTAGTCAGAAATGTACTGACTTTGATTTTCTTGCTGAGTAAACTCATGTTCTAATATTTCAATGAACCGTCTATGTACTCTAAGTTGACGAACAGTATCTAATCTTTTAAACGTTTCAGAGAAATTTGAAAACAGCATGTCTGTAGGATCTTGTTTTTGAATTGTGTGTGACTTAATTTTTTCTAGTACCAACATTTGCAAGTCTTCTCTTTTATTTATGTCTGCTAAAAATTAAAACATTTAATTATCTTATAAAATTAAAGAAATTAACAATATTATCTACCTTTATCTTTCCTTTGCATCGGCGTTGACGGTCTCCCTTGTATACTTTTGCCTGCATTTTCTTTTGAGGAAGGTGTTCTTCTGTCAAAAATAATTAAGATTAATTATTATTAATGCAGGTTTCCCACTCATCTACAAAAATCTACTATTTACTACTTTTTTTACGTTATGCTACTATTTGGGTACTTTTTCAGATTTCAGCAACTAAAAGCTACTATTTCTGTTTTTTTATAATTTCCACTACTTCAAATTTGCTAATACTAGAAATCGAAAAAATATATTCTCAAAAATTATAATCAAGTTCTTTAAAACAATTCAATTATTTTTAAAAAAATATTCGAAATTCAATTATTTTCAATATCTGTGACTGTCCACGAGAAAACACGGCTTAGGTTTAAACAATAAATTTTGAGTTTTTTATGTTAATCGACAGATTTTATGTTGCTTTTTCAAATGCAAAAGTCAAAAATTAAAAATATTAATTACTTTCGACAATATATCGTTTTAAAGATGGGTATGTCAAGCGTAGTTAACTTCAATCGTAGTACTTCAATCGCTCGCCCTGTGAAATTCACGTTTGGGAGCTAAGCCGTGTTTTCTCGTGGACAGTCACATCTAGTATTTTTATTAAATTTCGCAAAAGAATTCATTAACAAAAATTTTCGAATTCATCCAAAATTCAATTGTTTTCGTAAATAATAAAATTTCCACCAGTAGTTCAATTAATTTAGAATATCATTTTCAAAAAAATTTCGAAAAATCAATTATTTAACAAACATTTTATATAATTATTCACAATAATAATTCTTCTTCCCATCCGCTCAATTATTAAACTATCAATTATAAACTTATTAAAGAATTTCAATTACATATTTTTTATATTATTTTAAATTAATTAATCGAAAAATTCAATTATTTTTACAAATAAGGTTTTTCAATAGAATTCAATATTATTTAAAATAAAATGTTCATAATATTTATTACATTTTGAAAAAATTAATTATTTTAAACAATGTTTGTAAAATTCTTATGAAGAATTCAATTATTTTCCACAATTTTAATAAAATTATTAGTAACTATTCAATTATCTTCATAAATATTCAAATTCATCGCAGGATTTTAATTATTTTGATTACAATTTTACAGGAATTGCTCAAAAATAATTATTATTCTTAAACATTTAAAATTTTCATTTTTTAAAATTTTTTGAAAGAATTCAATTACTTACAAAAATATTAGAATTTTTTGACAGGAATTAAATTATTTTCAAATATTTTAATAAAATTATTGGATGGAAATGAATTACTTCTTTAAATACATTTTTTATTAAATTTTTTTAAAATTATTCAATTATTCTTCTAGATTTTAATAAAATTCTTCCTAAGAATTCAATTATTTACATAAATAATTCTTCGAAATATTAAATAAATTAAAAATAACTAAATAAAAATTTATAAATTTTTATAACAAAATTATTCCCGCAAATTCAATTATTTGGAAACATTTTAATAAAATTCTTTGCAAAATTCAATTATTAAATTATTATTATTATTAATTATTATTATTCAATTATTTACATAAATAATTCTTCGAAAGAATTCAATTATGTCAATAAATAACAAAATTATTCCCGCAAATTCAATTATTTGGAAACATTTTAATAAAATTCTTTGCAAAATTCAATTATTATTATTACAAGAATTCAATTTTTTTAAATTGGTACAATTTTTCTTGGAAATTCAATTATTTAAAAAAATTGAAGTAAAATCTTTAGCATAGTTCAATT